TTATTTTATTTTATTTTATTTTATATTATTTTATTTTATTTTATTTTATTTTATTTTATTTTATTTTATTTTATTTTATTTATTTTAATTTAATTTAATTTAATTTAATTTAATTTACTTTTGCTTGTGTGTGGTTTTTTTGATATTTTACTTGTTTTTTTTCTTCCACCTGCCTTCCTTCGTTCCAATGTCCAACATATTTTGACTACTTTTTTAATTTATTTTCCTAAAATCACAAGTAATCAGTACAAGTCGTAAGAAATAGCTGAAAATATTATTATGGTTTGCTTGCTTGTTTGTGTTTAATTCGTCATTAAATTGTTTTATTGATACACTTGTTTCGTGCTCGTATGTATATATGTACATACATATGTATGTGTGTGTGTGCAATCATGAGCACCTTCAGGCGACCAGTTATTTTGTTTACATTGTTTTGGTCTTTCAACGTCGCTTCAGCGCCTCCAAACCATAATCGAGCTAAGCTTGAGTACAAAGTCCATACATTTTAGCTATGTTATTGTTTTATTGTTGTTGCAATACTTTTCAATAAACATTTTTAAAAGCGCCCACAAACGCATAAATGTGTTTATCTGTAAATAAACAAGCCCACAAACAAAGACGAAATCAACGAGAGCAAAGCAGGTTTTTAGACGCTCTCTTGCTCTCTCGTTTAATGTGCATATGAGATCTGAAAATGCATTTATTTGGCCTTCTATTTGCTATTATTGTTATTTTTTTGTTTATCTCTAATAACTAGCCTACTTTAGCCGGTTTGCCACTCCTTCTAAATGAAAATAAATGGAGTTCCGTCACTTAGTTGGGGTTTTGGAGAATATTCCAAGCAACTTTGCTTCTATTTTTGTGTGTGTACATATGTGTTTATGTTTGAATTTCTAATTTTTTTATATTTTTATTTATTTATTATTATGAACACTTCAAATAGAAGTACTTTCTCTCCTAAAGACGCGCCCCTCTTTATGATGAGAGTGTTATCTAATCTACTTGCTTCCGGTGAATTATTTGATAAAAATATTTTTAAATAAATGTTGTCATTAAAATGAAATTATTTAAATTAAATTTCAACAAATTTTTATTTGTACTTAAGTACTTTATCGTAGAAAAATATGAAAATGTGCTGACAAGGGTGTAATAACATATTGAGTACTCTCATTTCTTGCGTGAAAGCCATTTTATTTGTCACGCAGTTTTATATTCATCTTTTCGAGGAGTATTCAATGCACTCCATGTGACACTCCTTCACTGCAACTTACAAGAAATATCTATTTTTAGACACTCTCCTCATGCAGGCATTGTCAATGTACATACATACACATGTATATATATAAATAAATGAAGCCCACACATGATTTGTATTCTGCTGAGTAGCTCTTTGCACATGACGGTTTGGTGACGACATAACGAAATTGCATTAGGCGAAGCTTGATAGAGTATTTTATTATATTTTAATTTATTCCATTTTTTTTTTATTTTATATACATGTTTTATTTTTTATTTATTTTGTCCACTTTTCCAGTTTATTTTGTTTAATTTTTTTTTATTTTATTTCATTCTATTACGTTTATTTTATTTATTATTTTCTTTAATTTTAATTCATTTTATTTTAATTTAATTTAAATTATTTAATTTAACTTTACTTTATTTAATTTTCATATTATTCAATTTTTTCTATTTTTATTTGTTTCATTTTATTTCATGCATTTTTTTATATCTTTTATTTTGTTTTATTAATTTATTTTATTATATCCTATTTTATTTTGTTTAATTTAATTTATTTTATTTTATTTTATTTTATTTTATTTTATTTTATTTTATTTTATTTTATTTTATTTTATTTTATTTTATTTTATTTTATTTTATTTTATTTTATTTTATTTTATTTTATTTTATTTTATTTTTTTTTATATATTTTTTTTTGTTGTAATATTTTTATTTTATGGAGTTATTTTTTTATTTTATTTAATTTTTTTTGTTTTATTTTATTTACTTTATTTTCTTTCATTTTATATATTTTAAATTTTTTATTTTTTTTATTTATTCTTGCGCTGTCCAATTGCTGCGTTCAAATTCAGCCTTAGCATACATATAAATGTATATATATGTATACATTTATATATATATATATGTTTGTTCTTAAATATTTGTGAGCTTTAATTAAGTTTTTGTAAGCATATTAAAAAAATGCCGACTTTCAGCGCAGTTTGCTCCTACCAATCCGACCGAAGACATTCTCAATTGAGTACGGCTAGTTACAGTTACAACCTGAGTTTGATTTCATTGTTGTTATTACACGACCTAACGTATACCTGATTTTCAACTGATCGATAAATTGTGGGATATTTGGAAACTGGTATTTATTTAAAAAGAAATTGTATTATTATATCAAGCAGTAAGTTGCGGTTGTAAGTTGTTTTTTCCTTTTTGTTTAATTTTTATTTTTAATTTTTTTAATATATTTGTTTGGCGGAAAAAATTACATAACATTCGTTAGCTTATATTCTTACATTCTGCTGTGAAGGTCAATTAATTCGTTATAAAATCAGATGAGCCTGGTAGACTGGGCATGGGTTAGGTAAAATAAATTTAATGGGGCTCAAGACCCCTGATTACATGATGTAAGCCACTGAAAGATAAGAAAAATGTAGCTCAGTTCTCAGTGGCGGCTTAACAAGTGCAGTGTTTGAGATTGGCTCAGTTGTGTTTCAGCAAAAGTGGAGTTTAAGAGCGTTTTTGTGAAAATTACTTAGTGGGTTTGCGAAAATCGCAATTTTTACAGGAAATCATCAAAGTTCTGTTTATAAAAAAAAACGCTTACTCACAGAGAATTCACCGTGGTGCTCCCTGGACACCATGCTTAAATATATATTCAAATTTTCTTATTTTCCTACGATGTGTTTTTATCCAAAGTGATGGACATGACCCTACGTACCATCATTTTTAGTGTAATTTTATTTGTTTGCGTATATTTTTCGCGTGTGTTTTGTGCCATCAAACATTATTTTCATTAATTATTTAACGATATCGGTGAGTATAACAGTGGCACTGAAAAAAACTTCAAAAAATTATATTTTTGAATTTAAAAAAGTGTTTTTTATTCTAACAATAATTTTTTACGTTACACATTTGTGTGCGCTGAAATGATCGTGGAGTTAAATAATCAGAAAATTTATTAACCTTTTCAAACTTAATGGAGATTTCACGAAAGCTCTCGAATATTAAAAAAATATGTATCTAAAATGATCAGAAATTTAAACAGGACAATGAAGCTTTTTGAAAGCTTTCAAGTGTTACAAAAATATAATTTATAAATAAATAATAGGATAGATGATAATAATAACACGTGAGACTCAAGTTCATAAATAATCGCAACATCTTAGTGCTAAAGCTCTCAAAGTTGATTTAGCTTAAAGCTTTCCTTACTAAATAATGCATAACCTTACTATGTGCAACCTTAAATCACTTAAGATTTTCCACAAAATTTTTTTAATATAATATATATAACAGTTGCTTTGAAAATTTCAAGCAAAGCCTTTGTCAAAACTCTGCACTGAAAAGCTTATCCTAAAATGTAGCTTTATTGCAGCGAAAATGTTTTGATGAATAAAAAAATGAAACAAAGCATGTTTTGCTGATTTCATTTTTGCTGTTATTTTTTGCCTCTAAATTAATTGTTTACAAAATGCTTTAAAATTCCATTATAAATTAATCTCATGCAATTAGGCCGCATTCTCGTGTGACCCTTAACATATAATTTTAATATATTATTATACAGAGTTAAACATCAATTATGATGCCATATTGCACACATCAGACAATGGAAACAACAAAAATTGATGGAAATTATAAAACCCTTGAGAGAATAAATGCAAATAGAAAAAAATGTGTGGCGAACTCTACATTGGCGGCGGCTGCAGACTTAATAGAATAAATAAATAATAAAAAAATTAAAGATAAAAGAACATGTAATAATATAACGTAAAATAAATAAATATGTTAAAGAAAGAGGATACAAAATTAAATACAAAAAAAAATTATAATAAAACACGAAATATAAAAAATTAAAATAAATTTAATAAAAAGAAATAAAGGAATAAAATAAAATGAGATAAAAAAAAAATAAGATGAAATAAAATAAAATAAAAAAAAAAATTAAATAAAATAATCTAAAATAAAATAAAATATAATAAAATAAATTAAATTAAAATAAAATAAAATAATCTAAAATAAAATAAAATAAAGTAAAATAAAATAAACTAAAATAAAATAAACTAAAGTAAAATAAAATAAACTAAAACAAAATAAAATAAATTAAAATTAAATTAATTAAATTAAATAAAATAAAATAAAATAAAATTAAAATAAAGAAATAAAATAAAGGATATAATTTAATAATAAATAATTAAAATGAAATAAAATAAAACAAAATAAAATAAAATAAAATAAAATAAAATAAAATAAAATAAAATAAAATAAAATAAAATAAATTAATACGGATTAAAATAAAAAAAAAACTACAATAAAATGAATCAATAAAATTTAAAAATAATGCGAGGAAATAAATTAATATCAAAATAAAAAAAAATAAAAACAAATTAATATCGTAAAAAATATAAAACTTGTAAGACTAAAAAATTTTTTTTGAATAAAATTAATCAAATAAAGATATATAGAAAAAATATATCTAAATATATAAAAAATTATTTAAACAAAATAGTTTAATTGAATATAAATTTGAATAAAGTCTCATGAAATAAAGCAAATAAGAATAAAACTAATCATAAATAAATAAATTATATAAAAATACATATATATTTAATTGGCGCTATGGAACTGCTAAAGCGCCTTTCGGACGAGCTACTCCTCCAATTTGTCCATTTGCGTCTTTATGTTTACCCTACAAACGGAGGGGCATTCTGAATGGTAGTACGCAATGCCAATCACTCGGCTACCGCGGCCGTTCAAATAAAACACAGTTATCATATTTTAAATTTTGTATAAGAAAAAACTTATAATATCGCCATAAAGCGAAAGTTCACTTCACAAAAATTTCCTTTTCTATTTCATTACAGATTTGATAAGAGACCGTTGCAAAAGCGTCATAGGCACACATACATACAAAAAACAAAAAAAAAAAACAAAAAAAAATTCGCGAAACAAGAAAGCTTCATTATCTGTTTGGGTTTGGTTTTGCGATTTCGTTTGTGTTTTTGTTCTCACATGCAACAGACAGCCACCAACGTTTACAGCAACAACACAGTAAAAATTGGACTTTGTTCGAGAGAGTGAGAGAGTGTTTAAAAAAAAAAAAAGTCTACATAAAAAATTTACGAAATTATATTTTTCAACAAATTTGATAAACATTTAAAGGCAACGAACCGGCACAGGAGTGAAAAAATAAAGCAAAAACAAAAAGAAATAAATAAAAAATCTCAAATCGAGCGTATTAAAAATCTGCCAAACATACAAATATACATACAAACATCATGATAATGCAACTGAAGTAAAAAAAAAAAACATTATAAAAAACAACAACAACAACAACACAAACAAATAAACGCCAAATGTGCAGAGGCATTGACGCAAGTGGCACGCAGCAATACCAACAGCCGCAACAGCAATTCGACTCTCTACAAAAGGCCTACACATTGAGAAGCAACAGACACAACCGACAAGCGAACAGTTGAGTCGCGACAATCACAAACAGCAGACGTGTTTTATATGCTATTACAAATAGCTGATTGATAGAAAGTGTTCAATATAACGGTGTTACAAAGTTACAGTTAGAGAGGCATAGCAAGATCGTTTAGTGTGCAGGTTTCAAATAAAAATTGAATAAATTAAATAATTAATTAATTAATAAATAAAAAAAAAATAAATAAAATAAAAAAGTGAACTCGTCTTTTTGAAAAACCTGCGGCAGCTCATATTTTTCTATTTAAATTCATAAAAAAAACAACAAATTTTTCGAAAATAATGCTTCGTCACTTTGTGCTGCGCTCTGTGGCATTCGCACAGCCTGTGCAATCCTGCGCAGCTGTTGCGGCATCGAGCGTTCGCCAACACAGCACAGTGGTCTCGACGAAGTGCTCGCAAACGGATAAATTTCTGGTATATAGCGATGAGGAGGGCTACATCAAGCAATCACCTTTTGACCCAGTGGAACCAGTCAATTTAACTGTGGATAAATATGTATGGCGTGATTTGAAAAAATTTGAAAATGATGTGGCGACGGTGAGTTTAAAATATAGTTTTATTAAAAAAAGTCAAATTTTAGGAAAAAATTATCGTTAAAAAATGTTCCAAAATTTTATAACAGCTTGTGATAAATTTTATATTAAAAAATATGTACTTTTTTTAAACTTTATATATTTTTTATATTTTATTTTATATTTTTTTTCTAATATTTTAAAGTTTTTAATTCCAAAATTTTTCCAAATTTACTATTAAGCCTGAATTATTTTTTTAAGATTTTATTTAATTATTTCCCAATTTTCTATCAATATTTTTTTCAAAAATTTTATAATTTTTTTTTCAAAAATTGTATCAATTTTCTTCAAAATTCATTATTTTTTCAAAAATTCCACAACATTTTTAAACGATTTTTTTTTCAATTACTTCTTTTTATATACATATATATCTTTGATACAAATTTTTCTTAACAAAGTTTTTATAAAAGTTTCCCAAAACTAATCATTTTCTTTTCTTAAATTTGATAAGCTTAATTTTTTTTCATTAGTCTTAAATTTTTGTAATAATCATTTATTAATGAAATTAATTAAATTTTTTTATTTCATCTATTTTCCAAGCTTTAATCTAAATATTGTATAAGTCTAAAATGTACACTTTTAAGGCTTTTATCCTTTCATAAATGAACTTCTGAGCTTTTTTAAGTAGTAAAAAATGTTGCTTAAAGCTTACCGTGCTTCCACATATCATTAGTAATGAAAACTCTCACAACAACTTTCAAAATTTCCATTTCTGAGATTGATTCGAGTTGAGCTTTACAGCTTCGAAGCCAAAGGAAATCGATCCTGGTGCTGGAAAGGATATTTGATTTATTTTCAAGGCTTGGGAAATGCTTTGTAGCTTTTAGAGCTTTCACAACAAGCAAGAGTTTAGTTAATATTGGCATGCTGCTGAGCTTTTTGTGCTTTTAGAACCCAATAAGCACTGAAGAACACTTGAAATATTTTACAGAGCATGTTTTTTCATTTCAAAACATTTAAATTGGAATATCCAAATCACTTTGATCTACTATGTGAATTAGGTAAATTTAGTGCCTTAAAATTCGTCGGAATTGCCGATAACTGTACAGAAAAGCTAAAAGTGCAAAATCATCAAGGAATGTAAAACAATTATCAGTACAAAAATATCTTGTGAGGGTACTCTCTTCGTCTTCTTCTCTCTCTCTCTCTCTCTCAAATAATAATTTGTAATAAATGTAATCACACGGATTAACTCATAGCTGCTGATAAGCCACAATTTAATCGAAAATATTGTACATACTTTGTAGTCAAAATTATACTTGTTTTTCTTTTTCATTTCAACATTGTTTTTGTTTGAGTATCTGCAAACTTTGAACGAGTGCGTCTTTGGTGGGGGCTTATGTGACGCTGATAAGATTAATAGAAATAGCACAAACCTCGTAAAAGTTATAAATTCTGAAGTAAATAAATTGACCACGTCTAGACATAAACAAAGGCGTATGTGATGACATTTATAAAAAAAATATAGCATGCGAGAAAAAAATTAAAATGCATTGAGATGTGCGGTTTCAATTGATTTTTCAGTTGTGTTTTTATTTACAATAATGCTATGTTATTGAAAAACAAGTTAAACTATTTTTTTCAATATATTTTGTTTTTTTTTCATATACTAAAATGTCAATTGACCTTTTTTTCTATTTAATAAAAATGTAAAAAAGAAATTTAAATATTTGCATTCGAAGTATATTTTTGCGTATCAGATTTATGGAAATTAAAAAATTTTTCATATATGTACATTTAAAATATAGCCTGCGAGAAAATATGAAAAATGGAAAAAATAAATAAATTGTAAATACTTTCCCTTTAAGTGCATTTTTTGTATTAAAAATATTTTCCATTAAATTGTTTTTAATAACCAGACTAAGATAGCATGCGAGAAAAAAATAAAAAATGGAAAGAAATAAATTAATTGTAAATACTTTCTTTTTAAGTGCATTTTTGCATTAAAAATATTTTCTATTAAATTGTTTTTAATAACCAGACTCATATAGCATGCGAGAAAAAATTCTAATTAATTTGAAAATAAATATCTATATAAATTTTAAGCGTATTTTTTGATACATTCGAAATTATTTACCAAATACATATACATAATTATAAATAAATAATATAAACTGAAGTCAAACATTTTTTTAAATCATATTTTCTGAGTATTAATTAAAAATTTACCTTCTTTTCAAACTCATATAGCATGCGAGAAAAATTTGTAGGCTTTTTAAGTTAAAAAAAATGTAAGAAAAGAAACTTAAATATTTGCATTCAAAGTATATTTTTGCGTATTAGATTTATAGAAATTAAATAATTTTTCATGTATGTACATATAAAATATAGCATGCGAGAAAAAATTCTAATTTGAAAATAAATATTTATATAAATTTTAAGCGTATTTTTTGATACATTCGAAATTATTTACAAACTACATAAACATAAATATGAATAAATATTATAAACTGAAGTCAAATATTTTTTTAAAGCATATTTTCTGAGAATTAATTACAAATTTCATTTCTTTTCAAACTCATATAACATGCGAGAAAAATTTGTAGTCGTTGTAATAGTGCTTTTTATGTGCAGCTTCATTGCAGGAAAATAAGAATATCGTTCGTGCTCTGTACAAAATAATATTTTGCCCAAAAAAAAAAATTAAATAAAAAAGATTAAATTAGCAACAAAGCAAGATTGGGGCACATTCACATACATATTACACATACTTTTTCATTTGTTATTTATATATATTTCCAGCTTGTTCTGAGTTGTTGAAACTTGTGCCTTAAGTGAAAAGTTGTACTAGCTTTTCAATTTATTAATAATAGGTATAATAAAATACATATGAACGTTCATAAGTTTGTATGTATGTACAAACATACATACATACATAATATGGTGTGGCTAGTCGTTATTAGTGTTATATACATTTTGAATATACTATCTGAGTGACATTGTAAATGCAATAAATGTTGCATATATTTATAATAAAAATTTCTGTCATTGATTTGGTTACTTCACTAGTGTAAATCGGACTAGTGCTAGGGCAAACGAAAAATAAAAATTTCAAATATATTTTTTTTTACATTTTTTTTTTTTTTGAAATTAGTAATAAAATTTATGTTAAAAATGTTGTGGACACGATGTGGTTACTTTACTGGTGTAAATCGGACTAGTGCTAGGGCAAATGAAAAATAAAAAATTGAAAATGGAAAATTAGGTTTTTTCGTTTTTTTTTGTATTGTAATTAGTAATAAAATTTATGTAAACAAATTTTACTAGTGTAATTCGGACTAGTGCTAGGGCAAACGAAAAATAAAAATTTCAAAAATATGTTTTTATACATTTTTTTTTGTAATTAGTAATAAAATTTCTGTAAAAAATGTGCTGGACACGATGTGGTTACTTTAGTGGTGTAAATCGGACTAGTGATAGGGCAAACGAAAAATAAATATTTAAAGCAAATTGTTTTAATTCTTTTTTTTGACAAATTAGCAATGAAATTTATATTAAAAAAATGTACGAAAAGTCGGCGGAGAACTGGCTTAATTAAATAATAAAAAAAGTAATAATAATAATATATAATATTAATTTTTTTCTTATTTTTTAAATAATTTTTTTTTGTTTACAGTTTTTCAATTTCTTTTAAAGTTTTATTTTTTCCATTTTTTTATATTTGGTGTTTTTTTATTTTGAAATGTTTTTATTTTTTTTTAATTTTTAGTTTAATATAATATTTTTAATTTATTTATTTAATTATTTATTAATTATTATTAATTAATTTTAATTAATATCGTTGACTGTACTAAAAGTTATAAATCAATTTATTTTATGTTTTCACCTAACAGCTGATTTAAGGTATTAGAAAGAGTTAGTGGTAACGGAAATAAACACCAATACTCTTATATACTCTTATTTGCTTATGCCGCTAATTTCTTCTTTCCACTTTGCCATTCATATCTTCATCATTACCTACACTTCTTGCTAAAAAAAAAAAAAAACACTGACTCTCGTGCATACAATTAAAATCACTTATTCCGCTATGTAACCGCACTAAGAATAGCATTTTAACCGAGATTGCAAGCAATTGACGATAATTGAAGGCGCAAGTGCAATGTAAATGAATGTAAATAAGTGCGCGAGTAGCCTCAAGCCCCACATACCTCATGCCCATCGTACATTTACTACTACCCCAGGGGGTTCAATGAATTCTCAGCAATCATAAATGTCTGTATGTATATATATATATACGTACATATAACTGCTACTTGTTTTAATTACTCATTTTTTATTGACAACTTTTCCCCTTTATTGTTTACTTCGCATTCAATTAATTTATTGTTATTTTTATTATTATCATCTTTTTTAGTAATTTGTTTTATCTCTTTACAACAATTTTTTTTTTTGAGAATTTATTTAATTTATCGTTACTATTATTATTTCTTTTTAATAGTTTTTTATCTCTTTATAACTAAATTTTAATTCACTTGCTTTTCTTGCATATTGTTTTTATTATTTTTTTATTTCACATTTTAACATTTTTATACTCGGCTATGAAATCGGACCAAGTTCACGGTAACCTCTCATATAATGGTAATTTTAAAAAGTGCACAAAATGCTATAATTCAGCCAGAGAGCTCAACCAAACCTGGTAGAGTTGATGTCCTATAAAATATCGCCGAGATATATTCACACATAGCTCTACCGTCCATATAACAGATCTTCTTTTTCCGACCGAATCATGGACTTGGATCTTAGATTTCTCTACTTATTTTTCTCTAATTATACTCCTTTTCATATATCTGAAGAAGAAGAAGACACAGAGCCAACAAAATTTATACCGATCGTATCGGAATGACGAGTTGAGTTGATTTAGTAATGCCCCTCAATCAGTTTTTGAGATATTTCCACGAAAGTTGATGCACAGTTGAGGTGGTGCATTTAAATGATAATTTGTCGGAACCGACCTGATCGGATCACTACAAGTATATACAACCGATTTTTCAGATTTCAGATTTTGAGTCAGAAATTCACAAAAAGAAAACATCAAAGAGCATGGGATTTGGTATTCTGAATATTCTGAATTGGGAATATTCTGAAACGATTTTTTCATATAGGCAGCTCTGCCAAAAGCGCACCTCAGGTATGAAATTTGGTATTTACAAATAAACATTCTTATTGAAAATCAACGAAAGCGGAGAACTCAATCATGTAGCCCACGTACAAACGATTTGTTCAGCTATGTGGTTTTGAGTCGTGAATCAAAAAAAAACCTCTAAGAGCTTTATTAATTTTCTTTCTTATTTTTTTTGTATTAAATAATTTTAATATTTAAATTTTCATTTTATTTATTTTTTATTTATTATTTATTTAATTTTAAAAAAAATTTTATACTAAATATTTTTTTATTAAATTTGCATATATTTTTTTCGAATATCATTTTTTTATTTGTCATTGATTAATAAAATTTTATTTGATTTATTTTTATTAATATTCTTCCTTTTAAATTAATTTTATTACTAATATAAGACGATAAAATTTTTCACATAATAATTATTATTTCTTTTTTTTTCTTTTCTCTTATATTTTTTTTTGATCATTTAATTTTATTTTTTCGTTTATTATTTTTTTTTCTTCTTTATAATTTCTTTAAAAATTCCAAAAATTTAATTCTTTCCTTTTTACGTTCTTTAGTTTCTTTTTATTAGCATTTTATTTACTGGAAATTTTAATTTATTTGATTTATTTTCTTTTTAAAATTTATGAATTTTTAGGCTTTAATATTTAAATTAGTATTAAATTTCTTTTGTTAAATTTTTTTGTCCATTGTCCACTTTTTCTTTTAATTGCTTGTTATTGTTCGCTGTTTTTTTATTGCTTTTCTTCTTCTTACTTTTTTATTTTATTTATTTTTTAATTATTTTTATTTTAATTATTTTTTTTTTTTTATTTTTTTTTTATTTATTTTTTTTTATTTATTTTTTTTTAATTATTTTTTTTTTAATTATTTTTTTTTTTTTGCATTTCCGATGATTTTTAATGGAGTTAACATTTTTAATTTTGAACTTGAACTTGATTTTAACCTTTTTCATTACGGTTATTATTATTATTATTACATTTTTTTTTTGATTTCCATAAAAAAATTTCATTATATCATCTAAGAAAACAAAATCTCATGATATAAATTTTTATGTTTTTTCTTTCTCCTTTACTTGGCATTAATTGCCTACTTGAGATGCATTTAAATTGTCGTCGCATTTGGCTCAAACTGGTTTTTTCTACAATTTACATTATATATATGTAGGCACAAGTGTATTCTCGCTTATGAATATAAAATTTACAACGATATTGATTTTTATCTAATTTTAATTATTTTATTAGAATTATTTTTGCAACTTTTAACGACTATTGAAGTGCAATTAAGTGTAGTTTAGTTGCAAAAAATGTTGTAGAAAAAATAAAAAGGCAATACATATATACCAATAGTATAATATCAGAGAGTTTCTTGCTAATTTCTTCTCACAAGTCGGCAGAGAGAACTCTGTACTAACCTAAAAGGCCCTCGAAATAATTGAAAAAAATATACTTTATCCTTCCTAGTGACTAAAACTATTAAATCCACAAAAAAAATTTGAAAAAATCTAAAACCAGTTTCCAAACATTTTTTTAATCAATTTTGAAAAAGTTTGAAGGCCACTTGTAACTATAAATTGCTATATAAAATACACTAAGTAAATTTGTTTGCCTGTACAATTCACAGCGCAACCAATTCTGAGCGCAAAATTTCTGCTCTAAAGGTTTTTTGAACAAATTTTCTTCTAAGTATAAATCTCATTACCTGCGGACTAGTTTGGTACTACTTGACATGTAAATGAAAATAAGTCATATTAAAAAAAAAAACATCGTGTTATATACACAAGAAAAAACTAGAAATTAAACTTTTTAACGAGTACTTATGTTCTTAAAATAAAAATATATGCCTGCAGCACAGTCCCATCGGCACCTCGTTGCTCTTCAAGCCGTCGCAGCAAACATCAAAATCCTCTTGCCTTTTGCCTCTTGTGCTGCTCTCGTTCTGTTATGATTTATTTTTATTTACTTTTTGTTTACTTTTCGCTTGGCATACAAAATAATTCGTCACTTTAAGTGCCAGGCCGCCCTCCACCGCAATAAACCGCTGGTAAACAAAGAAAAGAATTATCGTCGAGACTTATCAATCACTTGTTTGCCCAACGACGCGTCGCTAAAGCAGTTTTTTTTTATTTATTATATTTTTTTATATATTTTTTTTATATATTTTTTTTTATATATTTTTTTATATATTTTTTTATATATTTTTTTTATTTATTGTGTATTTTTAATTTCTGAAAATTTTTTTATTTTTTCTATAATTTTATTATTATTTTTAAATTTTTTTATTTCCTTTTTTTTATTATTTCTTTTTTTAATTTATTTATTTTTTTTTTATTTTTTTATTTACTTGTTTTATTATTTTTTTTTTAAATTTTATTTACATTTTTTTACAACTTTTTTTTTTAGATTTTTCGACATTATTTTTTGCGCAATCATTTCGGTTGTTTACCAAATTGTTATCTGTCTCCCGTTCGCTCTCTCCAAATGTTAACTCATTAATTGCGCTCCCCCACCTTCGTGTGTGTTCATAATAAATTTAGAAGAACTAGACTTTGGACATTGATCTACTGAACTTCGGACTGATACACGAAACTGAAAAACATGCAAACAGACAAATAAATACATACAAACATACATATAATGGAGAGAAAACGACAGAGAGAGAATGTAAAATAAAAAATCGTTGATTTTGTACATTTTGTTGTGGGTTTTTATTTTGTATTTTTTGCTCTCGATTCTCCTTTGATGGCGTATTGACGCTAAACAATTTTTAACAAATTTTACAAAAACAAAAACCTGTGCTAAAATTATCTCGACAGTGAGAAATGGCATTAAAATAATAACAAAAATTAATACAAAATAATTTTTCAAAGGAATAAAAAATGTTTTTGTTGGTACGAGTAGCTGTGTTTTTGATCATAAATTTTTGTTAAATTTTTTAAAAAAATTTTTAAACAAATTTTTTTTTTTTTTAATTTTTTTTTAAATTTTTTTTTAATTTTTTTTTCTGAGCTTGAGGATTCTACTCATGAGTCACTTAGCCTCCAACTTCGATTTCTAGACAGTCTTTTATAATTCTTAATCAAAAATTCTGTAGAAAGTCACATTTATTGCATGATGATTGATATACATACATACATACATATATAGTATACCCCTCTGGCGCCGAATTTCAGTTGCATCCTAAGCCTGTGGACTACTGCCTTTGATCGCTTTGAGCTCCATAGGACGCCATTGACAAACATTTTGAGTGCCAAATATTTAGACAAATTATGCTGGATTAATCTGCAAGAAGATTAATTAAAAAATAAAAATAAAAATAATATTTGCTCTAGTCACTTAACTGATTACTTACGAGCTGATTGGGGTCTAGTTTAGAAAAACTTAATATTTTTTAACTGAATGAATTTTATTTTATTGCAGTTTCATTTTATTCAACTAAGTGCACTAGTTCCTACAATGCTTACATGCCAACTAGTTTGGGACTACATTAGGAAAACGTAAAATTTTTGCTTTAATGAATTTATTTTTCTGTTTAACCAGAAACTAAGTTAAACCTATTAACACTGATTACCTGCGGACCGCTTTGTAACTAGTTTCAAACTTTATAAAAGACAATATTTGCACTTTAATGATTTGAACTTAATGCTTAATTCTTTCTGTACTGCGAATTTGTGTTTTGGTTACCAAACTAATTACATGAGGTCTACCTTACAACTAGTTCACAACTTCTTGAAATATAAAACTTTTTTACTGGAATCAATGATATTTGCAAAATGTAATGAATTTGTGTTTGGTTATCAAACTAGTTACATATGTACCATTTAGAAACTAGTTTACAAACAAAGTTTTCGTTATTAAAAAATATTTAATTTCACCTATTTTCTCCATTTGCTTTACTTACAGCTTTGCGTCATCAGTGGCCGCCAATATACCTATGCACAGTTACGTGATACCAGCGCCGCCTTTGCCATCCGTCTACAGAATAACTTTAAGCTCGCTCGCGGCGATACGCTAGCAATATGTCTACCCAACATGCCCGAATATCCAATTGCCGTATTGGGTGCCATCGAAGCGGGTCTCACAGTGACCACCGTCAATCCGATCTACACGGCAGGTGAGTGTGTGCGCGTAGGGGAGGAAGTAATGGAGGAAGTAATGGGTCTAAGATGGGCGATCAAAGCGAGAGGTGCTCCGAAATCTCTGTTAACCTTGACCAAAGTACGAGTTTCAATGAACTCCTTAAACTTATCAAAGCAATAATTGCGGCACTTCACTGCCTGCACCTCGTCGAACCCGGCGGACTGATTGATCAAGTGCCATTTAAATGCGCAAACAAATTATTTTTCATTCAGTAAAGAGATAAGCTTCGCGTTAGACTCAACCATGCATTTTTTTGTCTGCCCATTGTAGCATTGTTTTTGTAGCGTTTGCTCGCCGCCGCCAACGATTCTTGGCACCTATGAGCTCCCAACTGCGGTTGGCATCGTTTTACTGCATTTGTTGGTTTATGAAATTCCTACTCGTTTCCCTTAAGGCGACTGTTGTTTCATGACAAGTTCATTATACGGCTCATCAAGGCCATTGCGAGTGCATATGAGATGCAGTTCGGAGACCAGCTGGGCTTTTGTTATACGTACATATTAGCGGCGTGGGCTGGCGCGCTCTTGGCGAGAAGAGCGGCTATTTTGCAGCAGAAAGCTGATTCTCGTTTTATAGGACCCAGTCGCGCTTATAACTACGCTCTATATAAGCTCTTTTTACAGTTCAGAGGCTCTTTGAACTGCGACTACACCGAGGCTGTCACAAATGTTAAACCTATCAGCGATTTCTTCGGTCGAAATGCCGAAATGATGACCACAACCAAATATACTCCTTCGGGAAATTCACTCTGCTATTTAGGACTTACACCGTGCTTGTCTATCTTCTTTTAATTCATAACTCTGCGGTTGCCCTGAACTCATTTAAGCGGAACTCAGTAGAACCAACAGCTGGTTGAGCTATAAAATGTTGATTTTCGGTTCCTTCTTTCAAAGATCTTGTTTAGTGAGAAAACTCCAGTGTCCTAGAGATTTTTGCGGTCACATCGCTCTCGAAGAAGGCTTTGATATTGATGAACATTTAAAAAATAATTTTTCCCAAAATAATTCTCTCTCTCTCTCTCTCCCCCCCGTGCCATTTCAGAGGAAATCTCCCGTCAACTACAGACCAGCAATTCAAAGTTTATCGTCGGCACCAGTCTGGGATATGGCGTCCTCAAAGAGGCTTGTGTATTGGCACAAAAACAAATACCCATTGCTGTTATACGTTTCCAACCGGACGAAGAGCTACCTGATGGAGCTTTGGACTTCATGGAAATAATAAATCCACAAGGCGTTGACTATTCAAAATTGAAGGATTACAATGTCGATCCTGATAACGTAGCGTTCCTGCCCTTCTCGTCGGGCACCACCGGCCTACCGAAGGCAGTGCAGCTCACACACAACAATATCACAATTAATAGCGAGCAGTTGGAGGGGTCTTTCTGCTTTCGGCAATCTGGCCGACAGGAGGTGCTGCCGGCCATCTTGCCATTCTTTCACATTTACGGTCTGAATGTGATTATGCTCTCGAAGTTGGCGATAGGCGCGAAATTGCTGACAATGCCACAGTTCCGTCCGGAAGATCTACTCACAGCATTGTGTGTGCACAAGTCGACGATTTTGAATGTCGTGCCGCCCATGGGTGAGTGTCGCGAGGAGTGTTCGGCTCATAAGTTTTTATAATTGCATTAATGTCTTTCTCTCTCTCTCCCTTCACCAGCGCTCTTCATGATCAACTACCCGAAGCTAACGCAGGATGTTGTGCCCCATTTGAAGTACGTCCAGATCGGCGCGGCACCGATTGCTGAGAGTGACATGCAACGGTTCTTGAAGAAGTGAGTGCACATCTCTCATATTTACATATCTCTTTTGTGAGTTTACCAAACTCTAACTCTCTCGCTCTCTTTTCGTGCAGATTTCCCAAAACTAGCTTCCTACAGGGTTACGGCATGACCGAAACCTCACCAGTCACACTAATGGTGCCATTAAACAACACACGCTTTGCCTCCGCGGGCGCACCGGCGCCCCTTACCGAGGCGAAAATAATCGCAATCGGCACTGATGATTACAAGGGTTTGGCACCCAACTGCACCGGCGAGCTTTGCGTACGCGGACCACAAGTCATGAAGGGTTACCTCAACAATGACGAAGCCAATGCGGAGATCTTTTTGCCTAAGGGTTGGTTGCGTAGCGGCGATGTGGGCCACTACGATGAGGATGGCTACTTCTATATAACCGATCGCATGAAGGAGCTCATCAAAGTGAAGGGCTTCCAAGTGCCACCAGCCGAATTGGAGGGTATACTGCGTGATCATCCGAAGATCATAGAAGCCGCTGTCATACCCCGTCCAGACGAAGTGGCCGGCGAGTTGCCGCGGGCCGTGGTAGTGCTACGGGAGGGTGCGAAAGCTTCGGAGCAGGAGATCTATGACTATGTGGCGGCACGAGTGGCGGAATATAAGAAATTGGACGGTGGCATTGTCTTCACAAATGAAATACCCAAGACGACAACGGGCAAAATTTTACGGAAAGCAGTGAGGGAAGCATACACAAGCTAGGGGAGCGTGATGGTGTTGTCGAAAGGCTAACATACTCGTATGTTGGGGGAAGAGTCAAGCTTTTATTGGAGTCTAATGTGTATCTGTAAATCTGTGCATATTTATGTGGAAAATTGTGTTGTTGGCGCTGTTAACATAGTATGTAAAAGGAAGACCATTAGGCAGCGAAGGTGGGGCTGGCGCAAACTTTTAGGGTAAAATTGTAAAAAATATTCAAGCTTTATTGGAATGCACTTTAAGTGAATATTTGCGAAAAAATCTTAAAGATGACTTGTGCAAACTTTGAATGTAGCTTGCGCAAACTTTTTACAAAATTTCATTCTAAGCGACGAAAAAATGTGGCAACCAAAAAAATTTGTAAATTTGAACAAATTTTTAGTGTGGTGTGTGCAAGTTCTAGTTTGCGCAAACTTTTTGCAAAAGTATATTTTAAGACAAGATAAAATTGGTAGAAACGTGAAGAATTTGTATGTGCTGCGCAAGCTTTTAATATGGTGTAGGCAAGTTTTGGCTTGTGCAAACTTTCCATACATCAAAGTTTTAAAAATAAAAATTGTTTAGTTGCCACAATAATCTGTAGAAAAGTTTTAAAATCATTATTTTAAAAAAGCTTGCGCAACACAAATTGCACAGTCTCACGCAGAAAAAAAAACTTGATCGAAATTGTTGCATTTCTTAGCAAATAGGATTTTTAAAATTGGAACAAAAGACAACATTTGGCGCCATTCGAATGATACTCAAGCGCCAACTGAGGCACTTGAAGTTGAGCGAAGCTAAAATGGACTATGATAAATGAGCGAAAAATACTTTATTTTAAGCATAGCAATTAAGACGATGATTTTATGTACATATATAAATTAAGTGCGTACGATAATCGTGAAAGTAGTTTTCTTTAAATTGATATTGACTATATGCATATATGTACATATATTTAGGAAATATGTTGAATGTTTTTAATTGTACAAAACTTGAAACGGTATTAAAAAATAATAGTTTTCATACAAATTGGTTTTTTCCTCTTTTTTCAAAAACGGTAATCAACCAAAAAGGTAAGTTTCATGCTTTTCATTGGCTCTCAAAAATGCAGAGCACACTTTTTTAAAAAGCTCACAGTATCAAAAGTCTGCCAAGACACAAACCTTCACACGTCTACAGTGCAGATCAAACTGTTTAGTTAATGTGCGCACCGAACCTGAAGACAATTAAATAACTTACAGCCACTCTCAAACTGTACATTAACAGCCATTGGGTAAATTTAACCGAGTGCCTAAGGTAGTTGAGCTTAATGCATAACAATTTCATTAAAAACTGTGACAATACAATATTTTTTGAACTTTTTAAAATAATTTAATATATTAAAATGATAAGAATTAATCATTTGTGTTATAATTAAATTTTTGAAAACATTCAAAGCATTCAAATTTGTATTGCTTGCAAAATATAATCAATTTTTTTCTCTTATATATTTTAAATGTTTTCTAAAAGTTTTTCAAACATGCTTTCCTTATTACACAAAATTATGAAGAGAGAAAATTTTTATTGTGGCAATTTATATTTAGTTTTATTTGTAAAACGAATAAATATACAAAATTAATCATTTATTTTTTCTTCTCACAACACTACAATTATGAAGAGAAAACTGAAATGTGGAAAAAATTTTACTAAAAAAAAATCCAACTCACTAAATTTTAGCTATTTTAATTCAGACCTTTTGTAAATTTTTGTTAAAAAAAAAATATAAAAATTTTTAACTTCTTTTCATAAAAAATATTTTCTAAAAAACTATTCAAAGGCAATACTAAAAAAATAGGAAAAAGTTGAAAAAAAAATTTTGTTAATGAAAAAATTAAATAATTGAATAATTTTCTTTTTTCAATTATAAAGAATTTAGTGTCATTTCGTGTAATTCTTATTATTATTGTTTAATAAAATATAAAATTAATTATTTGTAGTATTCGAGTATAAATTATATTTTAAAATTAAATATAAAATTTAATGCAATTATTTGATTATAAACAGAATAGAAAATTTCGAAGACAATACAAATTATTAATTTTGAGCACTTTTTTTAATTTTTTTTAGTTTGTTTGTTTACAAAAAGGTTATTTATTTGTTCAACTTTATTTAAAAAAAATATTTTATTGAAAAAAAAAATATTTGTTTGAAAAAAAATTATTTATTTCAAAAAAAAAATTTTTCAAAAAAATATTGGAAATCAAAGTTTCTTTTCACAAATTGTAAAATGCGAAAATTTTTCGAAAATTTGAAAAAAATATTTCTTTAGTAAAAATTCAGTTCAAGTTCAATTTTTTTTTAAATTATTATTTCTAAATTCAAAATTATTATATTTATGATATTTTTCTTTACAATAATTCCGTTCTAGCGTAATTTTATACTATTTTTAATTTTTCTTAATTTTTTTTTAAGTTTTCTCGCTACTTACCACTTTAGTCTCTCTACCAATTTTCTGTCTTCCATCAAAGCCTTACTGTAATAAATATGTACATCATTTTCGCAATATTTATTTTATTTTGTTTTTGTTTATTTTTCAAATGCATTGTATTTTAATTTTCTTTAATATAATTACATTTTTCAATTTATTTTATTTTTTTTTTTTATTTTGCTGTTACTAATTTCCTTAAATGTTAAATAATAACTTTTATAATAATAATAATAATCATAATATTTACTCATTTTCATCTTTGTTTTTAGTACATTTCGGTTTGTTTATTTTGTTTTCTATTTCATTTTTTTATATATATATATTTTTAACTTTATTTAATTTTTTAGTTGGTTTTCGACATTTTTTTAGTTCATTTTCTTGTTTGCTTCCTAAACTATTAGTTTGTGTTGCTATTGTTTTTTTATTTATTTACTTAATTAGTTATTTACGTACACCTTTTGTCCATATTCATTAGTTTCAACGACACATTTCGGGAAAATTTTATCGAAATTCGCACTGAACGTTTTTTTTTCGATTTACATAAGAATTCATTTAACATACATATATGGGGCTTTCATTAAATTAAATTAATTTTATTTTTTATTTTTAATTTTATTTTTGTTTGACTATATATGTTTTGTATAATTTCTTTTTTTTTTAATTTAGCTTAAGAACATTTAGTTATTTATTGATGTTTGCTATTGAGTTTTTCAATAGCAGCTGCTGAAATTAATGGGGTCTTTTGCCAAGGCTGCCTAAATTAAAAGTTAAAAGGGAAATTAAAGAAAAAGAAAATTAATTAATAAAAAATCAATATATTTGTAAGAAAAATTTCAGCAGCTGTTTTCAGCAGTTCTTAGTTCCGCTTCTATTCATATTATTATTTTCTATTTATTAAATAAATCTTTTATATTTTCTCAGTATCATTACCTTTTTTATTTTCAATTTGTTACACTAGATACTACTCAACTCTTGTCAATTAAATTGTTTTGGCCTAGCAATACAAATTTGCTTTCAGATTTGTATTTTTATAATAGTAAAAACATCTTACCAACGCAGTTCCCTTGATTTTCGAACAAAATTTTATTTTCTACTTCAATTTTGCTTTCTTTCATTTTTTATTTTATTTTTAATTTGCTTTTGTTTATTTCATTTTGTTATTCTAAAATAATCAATTTTATTTAATTCAATTTAATTTTATTTTATTAAATTTAATTTTTTTTATTTAATTCTTTTTATTTAACCTTTTTTAA